CCCCAAAACCCCAAAACCCCAAAACCCCAAAACAAAATCCAAGGGTTGAATCAATTGGGGCATATTAAGTCAAAGAATTTGGAACTCCTTAAAGAATAACTGGGTGATCAAATAAATGCCTTGGGGTTACTTGTTGTGTTCATGGATCTTAGCAAGATATGAAGCTGGGCTGTTTCCTTCCTTCTTGGATAGGATGGATGCTCTGTTGCCAAATGCTATCCCATCGTCGTCTATTTCTGCAGATCTATAACATGAGGATCAGGTCTTACATTATGTCTTCTTCGTTTTTGATTGATGAGGAGGAAACACTGTGGTTTTGGTCAGGTGGTCTCTGCTGAAGCTCAATCTGAACATCTTTCACCGATACATTCAATCTGTGTTCAGGAGATGTGATATTTCTGATCTGTCGATTTGTTCCTCCGGAGTCTAAGTTCTTTGAAACCACTTTGCTTCATACTGGGTGTTTCATGATTGGTCTCCAGCCTGGGTCAATCTGGTCGATGAGTTTGTTATCAAACTCTGTGAGTTCATTTTCTTTAATATCTCCTATGGCTTCTTGGTACTCAATAAGCTTCTGCTCAAAGTTTTTGCATTTGTAAGGCAGAATCAGATCCAGTTTGTTCGCTGTAGCACAGCTTTCATTGCTTAGAGATCTTGAATCACTGAACTTAGAAAGAATCTTCTGCCTATCAGTGAAGAGTACGTTTATCAAAATATTAAGTTGATGTAAATTTGAAATAATATTTGTTGCATCTAAGTCATGGCAATATCTCTGAAGTCCTTTGTTGTATAGTTTAGAATTGTTGTATCGCTTCCTGCACCACTTCTTTCACTTAACAACACAGAACATATTGTATAGGAGGTCAACAGCAGTATAAGCATACCTTCTCTTCTTGCTCAATTTCTCCTTTAATGAAATTTCTTGTTCACGGCTAAATAGGAGACTCCTGGGCTAGAGGTTTGGCAGGATCTTCAGGCGCTCCTCCTTCATCCTCCTCGCTGTCTCCCTTCTTGTCTTCTTCAAAATTGAATCCACCTGGGTGGGAGCTTTCATAGATATTATTGTTTTCAACGATGATAGGTTTTTGGGATAGCTCATCTATTTTATTTGAATTTTCACCTGAATCTTCATAGAGTTCTTTCTCATCAAAGGTATAAATTTTGGAAATCGCTGAAAACTTATAGACTCGGTCAGCATAGAATGCAACAATGACCGCAGCCAGAGACTGGAGAAGACTAAAAATACCTCCAATGCTGGCAAGGATGTCTGTGAATGTGAAGACAGCTCGAGTGTAAGTGTCTGACTCAGAATCTAGGTACACAGTAACATATGAGAACGTTTTTGAATCATAACTGAATTTATCAGTTTTCTCTTCGGAAATAGCATAGAAAGTTCCATCCTTTTTCCCATCAACCAGAGTGTAGTCATCGAGAGTATCAATTTTATTCTCCTTCAAGAAGATATCTGTTTTGAGATAGTAACCTTGTTGGCAGACGTAATAATACTTCTGGGTAAGATAATTCTTGATAGGCTGACTGAAGCTTTCCAGGTCAAAGTAGCTATTGATCATTAGCACTTCAAAATAATTATTAAAGATTTCAGAGTTGATGACTCCATCATCTTCTCAATCATCTCTTTCACTTGTATCTCATCTTAGCAATTCAATTTGTAAGGATTTTGAAATATCCGTATACCAATTTCCAACGATCGAATAGTTTGTAGGCTTTATTCAGACATAATTATGAATGTTAAAGCGTCTGAGTAGGGTTTTATTTTGATAAGGGAAAGAATCTTCACACTTCATCAACTCGAGTTCAGTCCAAGTCTCATTCCAGCCACCTTCAGGCTTTATAATTGAATGATACTGATATGCTTTAATTTTGAACATTTTCAAATATTTTTCATCAAGCAAGCTAACACTGTTGAATCTAAACCCAACTGCAATGGCGAAACCATGCTCAGCTGGGCGATGCTCTTCATCGCTTTTAGTAAGGTCCCTAATGACGCTATTGGTGCTGTAGACTATGGTTCTTCTTGCGAACATGGTTTCCATCATGTAAGCAGCATAGCCAAGGAGAGTGATTAGGACAATTATATGCTGACAGATCCACCGAACATAGTCTTGAACTTATCCTCTCCTTTATAATTAAGAGTAATACGTCTTCCATAAAGGTCAATAGCCTTTACAACTCCCCCTACTTTAGATCCAATAGTCCGTATCCAGCCAGTCATTTTGTAAATAGAATAAACTCAATAGTTTTAGCTTGCCTGGGGTTTTGGGGTTTTGGGGTTTTGGGG